CTTAACCAAAAGTGCTTACATCAAACCAGTAAACAATGAAAAGAAACTATCTCTTGAAAAAGTTTATGAACTGACACAGTTTGAAGAACTCCCGGATCTCATGGATACAACCGATCAGAAAATCAGTTAAGTCTATATCACTCATTCCTATGGGCAGTAAACTACAAAATATTTATCTTATTAATCATTTATCAAGTTCTTACCATCTGAAAACTTCATATGCATACCTTTTTTTCCCTAGACTTGCTCTGTGCAGTCATACAATGTTTTCCACCACGCACCACTAAACGTAGAAAAAGGCTGCAAGAATTTGTAATAGTCAATGAATAGTATGTTACTTTTTCTCTTGTACATATACATACGCACACTTTCTATCATCTAATACTCTATTCTGAATTATTGATCCTCCTACATTAAAGCTAAAACTGTAACTTCTGTATTTTACAGGTATGAACCAATGGTTTTAACACTGTGGCAAGATTTTCTGGAAAATGAAGGACCTCTTTTGACAGATATTGTTCATAAAAGACCTATCATATTAGCAACGAGGCTTCTCCTTAGTACCTTCTATGGTAATAACTTATCCCATCATTTGCTGAATACAGAAATTCAGGTACAACAGATCATTTTACATAATATACTCAGCTTATATTTCCACATATACATATTTTAATTATAGAATGAAAATAGACAAAACCAACACAACATGTTTTTTCACAAATTTTAGTGTTTGACGAATACATCGTTTCACTCAAAATCCATATTTCAGTCACCAAAAATGCCTTTTGTTTGGTTGATAAAAGAGGGAGAAATTAGGAAAAAAGTTCCTGTCATAACCAATGAATTTCCATTTGCTTTAAATTTTTGGTTTTACATGTTTTAAAGCATGGTTTCAATTGATTCAAATTGGACGGGTAGAGAACAATGTGTTGTTGATTGTGAGTACTAAGGGAAATGACATGTATCCCTAGATTGACCGTTTAATATGCATATAAAGTGTTTTTTTTTTTTTCCTGTGAATGTGGCTATTACATATTTCATATAAGCTTGGAATTCATTATAGGCACATTTGTATTTTCTCAAACTTCTAACTCTGGTGAAACTACATTTATCTTTAAGTTAATAGCATCAATTGTATATTCTAAGTATTACTTTTTGGGTCTTCATTTATCTATGGATGGCCATATTTTCAGAATAAAAAATCAAATTCTCTCAGAGTTAGTTAGCGAAATTAACAATATTCTCATACATCTGAATTTCAACTTTCATTTGTTCAACCATAAAACTTCAGGTTTGTTGCATAGTAGAGCAATAATTCTTGGTAAATTAGCAGGGCAACCCTTTATATTAATAACTTTGATAAACTCCTGTATGCTTTTAGATTAACATGGGTGGCTGCATCAGAATTAGAATTTGGGTTCCTTTGGGTTCCATTTGAGGTGTTTATTAGGGGCTTAGAGTTGGCAAAGCAATTTGACAATTCGTAAAAACTTAGAAAAAATAACCTTTTCTTCAGATGGTTTTCGTTTGCAATATACGTCAATCTATTGCTTAATGTGTATATTTGTAAGTTGCTTCAAAATTACATTTTATGCTGTTAAATGTCTAACAGCTGTTTGACTTCGCGTCTCACAGAGATCTATTTGCGCACACGTATTCAACCATTATTATTAACCTTATCGCAGGAATGTCTGTCAGAACATTTTTCAACAGTGTCATTTTATTTGATCCTCCTATCTCAGAGGCAGAACACCTTCACACCTGGTAATTCCTACCTAAAAATATTCTTATTTAGATTCACCTGTTATCCCACTCTACATATGCATACATCTTAAACATAATTATTTGTACAATTCGCTTATCACATTTATCCACACATATTCTTCAATAACTGCACTAATTGAAATTAATTTCCTAACTTCTATGACACCAGGATAAAAGACAACAGTGAATACATAGAAAGGATCATTTCTGAAAAACTGTATGACAGGAAAAACGAAGAAGTGCGACAACCACTGAGTTCCCAGATCAGAAAAATAAGCCAAATCAAGAGCTTAACTGAAATGGTAATTTATCATAACTTATCTGATGGAACCGACTCACTAGATGCTACTATTGAAGATAAAGAAGCTGAAACTTTACTCGAAATGTCAACAGAAGATTTATTAAAGGGGAAAAAAGAGGTACTCTTTCAAACTAACTGCACTATAACCATTTGTGTTTACCTTTTATTATCTGTCATTATTTTCTCAAAACATGAACATCAACTCATCGCAAGTATGACAAATGAGAAATTCGCAAATCAGCATCTGCTCTTCCACATCAGGACATACACCAAAACATTTTGAGAGATAACTTCCACAAAATATACTATATCAGGAATTCTACCATGCAATGCTCCCTCATCGACTTCACAAACCTCTGAAGGTAAACAACAGGCATTCACCAGTAAAAGGAAAGCAATAGCAGCCGTACCAATGATTGACGATGAAGGAAGTACATCCACAACTGAAAAGGAATCTACTGCACCAAAACATGTAAAGCAAGACTAAGATACCCCAATTACTAACCTCTGTGGACCAACATTTTGGGAGTCACCTTTGTATATACCATATGTTCTAATCGATTAGAACATGACTCCACCATTTTGGAAAATCGTTGTATATAGAATATGTTCTTACACATTTTGCTACATACATATTGTAAGGACATAACTTCGACTTCTTCAGACTTGTGTTTGTACGGATAATATATCTACATTTTACCAAATCCTCCCATTGTCCTTTATAGTCTTTTAATGTTCATCTCTATGTATTCCGTTTTCCGTTTCATTATTATGAAAATCTTCTCATGGATTAGGTGCTCTTTGAACTCCTACAGATCGTACCAGATCATAGAAATGTTTTGCTGAATAATTCTTGGCAAATAGTGTAAACTTGTATAAATATATAATCCATAAACCTGTATAAATATTTAATCTAATTTAACACAAAAAATAATACTATCATATAATGCCCTTTTTGTACAAACACAACCCCATCGCATAAAGACTAAATCTCTAGCTCAATCTATCACATATAAACAAAACTCCGATCAACTTCTTCCATTAACATTACAAACACAAGCCTATCGCATATAAAAGACTAAATCTCAACCTCAATCTATTACATAGAAACAATACTTCAATCAACATCTTGCATTGATGTTCCACTACTATGTAAATTAACATTCCCAGTGTTTCTCGCCTCATCAGACATTTCGATAACTTCTATTATCCTCCCAAGTCTCTCCAACCGTTCCCCAGTTCTTAACACTTCTTGCAACACATTATTCCACTGATGTCTAGAAACAAAACTGACTTAGTAAATCATACACCTCACACTCTATAGATCTACGCCCCTCCTGACTTCTTAGCATTTCTCTCCTTTCTCGATCATAGTATATATTATCAAATAACATATGTATTCCCCTATTAGTTGCTCCTCCACGTGGTAATGAATATCCATTTCCCCCATTTTCGTATGGAACTTCACTGCCTTCCATTAATAGAAAATGAAACTAACTCTAAGCAAAACCTTATCACTAAAGTGAGCTTCTTTAAAAACAAAAAATTCGGAAACTTGGCAATTTGTTTTAAAAAGGTACAGAAAAAGATATGAAATAATATGACCTAGATTAAACAAACAAATTTTTTCACATCAGTAACCAAATTTAAAGAAATATCCAACAATAAAATATAAACAAATGTCACCATGCATGCAACACCACATTTCTACAATATAAAGTGACACTCAAATCATCTCCTCTTGACACCTATCTATACAAAAATTCCAACACGTTTCTCTTTCTGGCACATTACCTTAATACCACCCTTTTTATTCTCCTCTTTCGTCAATAATTTCTCACGTCTTCTCTTTATGCAAATTCTATTTTCTTATTTGTTTAGTATTTTTGCAGGCACAACTACTCACTCTACTAACAAAATTCGGCTACACTAAAGTAACGAGAAAATGCCAAGTCCAGTTCATTGCAGCTGTATTCATTGCGGCCAATGCACTCATAATTCCATGTTCGAAAGAGAAGTTGAAGCATTACTAAGAAGATTTGTATCTCATTCCATCTGGAAATATATTCTCAAAACAGCACTTAATATAGAGCGGAGTCTTTTTCTTCTGCTTGAACGTACTAACGCAATAGAGGCTGAATTATGCACTTAATTTGCTTGCACAATATATGGTACATATGAAGTGTGTATATTTTTTTATTAACTATGTAAAATACATATCCAGCCATTATATATTAGCATATAAACATATACTCAAGAACTGATTATATTCTCTTTTACCGGCTTACGCAAAAGAACGGTTATCCTTATATCTAAACAAAAATTTCTATCTCAATTCTCTTCCACCGCCTCTTATTTTCTTATGTCCTACTGGGCTACTACTCACCTAAAGCTGCACATCGTGCAGCATCTCCCCCTAGTATATCTGGAAATCGGTAGTATAATAGACACAATAGAGCAACTTGAAGTCGATAGTTTTCTCCTACAATAGTGCTGAATCTTGATTGGCCATGATATTTAACTGCCTAACTTTTCCACATAATCTCCGAAATAGGTACAATGTCATCGATTCTACACTTTCTTTGTAGAGTTCCGAAAAAAATGTGGCAAAACCACAAGGACTAAAAACGTGGTTAACAGAAAAAATGACTAATCAAGTGCCTAGGAAACTGATATTAACTTCAAATCACTAAAACAGCAAGAGAGCTAAAAGGAGAACCACACACCACATAATGAGTCATCGTGGTCCAAATTCAATTAATATTGCATTGCGACAAAACAAAAACTTAGAGGTTGCATTGATCTTTATGCACAACAATTTACATTGAGAGAAATTAGTCGTTCACCTAACAAACTTCGATGTCAACTGCTAGCAATTGTATTTGTCACATCTTAGCACGAAATTACTGCTTCATAGCAGAGGCACCAGTATTCTCTACAAGGAACAATCACCCATGGCAATTTCGAAAGTAAAATGGTTCTTGGCACGGATGGAATCCTGCAATGAGAGAAGTAACGGAAACGCGCCAAAAGTAAACTACAGTGAGCAGAAATTCAATTGGCCAAAAAAAGAAGGTAAATGCATTAGGACGACTTTGGGTAATAGTAAGTAGAAGGACAATGAATAACCTGCCTTGTTCCTGTTAGAACTCCATATGCTGAGGAGCTAATGGCAGCTCTTGAAATGGTAGAAAAAATGTCCGCATAACTTGACCAGACTAGTTCACCTGAGATAGATGTTCACAAGTTGGACAACCACCAAGAAAGCGGGAAAGTGTCAGGAATTTTAGACAAAACTGTAAGAGCAAATGCAATTCCAAATGCAAATATGTTAAGATCAGCTTTGGTGTCCATGATTCCTATTAAGCTGTGAAAAACAATCGTTCAAGGGAAAAAGTTTCTATTAAATTTAAAGGTATCAGAAAATTTCAGCTCTTTAGATATCATACGAGATTTTCTTTTGGAAACAGAAATCTAATTCACACTTGTAAGTAGAATGTCCAGGTACTGACCTAAGTTCATATAATTGCTGTGCAAAACTGTCAAAATTGTGTGTTTGGCACCACTATTATCTCGAATTTCTTCTGACTCCTTTGATGAGGAGACTTCTGAACCCACATGTCCCGTGTCCAGAGAAATAGAAGTGCCAAGTTGAGAAGCTACAATCTCAAACCATATCCCAGAGGGAAATCTTCTCTTCATTAACAACCAAATGAAAACTCTGTTATATGGGGTAGAATGAATGGCAGATATGCAGAGCTGAAAACCTAAACAGACAATGTTGATGACACTGTTGATGATGGCAAAGAATATATAGAATGCTGATGTGGTAGGTAGCAGCAGCAATAGTGGTGTAAAGAGAAGAGAGCCAACAATATGTTGCTCCACAGTGTAATCGTAGCTATCCAATCTCCCACGAAGAGGATTCCACTTCTTTCCCCTGCAATTAGTCCAGGATCATCATGGTAAGCTGGAAATATTGACAATGACAAACTTTAACCTATAGATGAAAGATATTTAAGTAATAATAAGCACAACTATGCAAAGCGAAGAGCAATGGCAAGGTTCAATTTAAAGTGATCAATTTAGCACAGCAAAAAGCGGAAAGTGCAGAAACTCAAATGGATCAGATTCAGTATGAATTCCCACAAAAGGAAGTCAATCCTTCAACAACTATTATCTGGTGCATACAGTAAACCCTCCAAATTAGAACCAAGTCATCATGTTATAGATTCCACCGCCTTGGATATGCATTCTTCATTCACAAGTTTTTACAAACAGTCAGCTATTAATATTATTATCAGTTCTTGTTTAAATTGAATAAATCAAAATCAGAGTAACAGCACATCATATTGGGTAATCAAAACAAGTTCTCTGAGATATAACAACTCTTAAAGAAAGAAAACGTCAAAGACAATTTCCATTCATGTCCTACAGATTCCCACAACTTAATTGATCTCCCGGAACCATAATTCAGAAGCTTAGGCTACAGTTTTAAGGAATTTTGGAAAGTAAATATATGCTACTGACTTCAAGATTTTGATTAGGTTAACATTATACAAATTACTATGTGAACCAAATAAGAAGTTCCGCACCTAGAGAAAGGCTTTGGGCAAAGTGTGTGCATGGAAGCTCTTTCATGTACAATCAATTAAAATAATCTTTATGTAAGTACTCTGAAGTCATTACCTGAAAAGACGCCATAAAGCTGCTAATGCCATTATCTGCCGTGAATAGATAAGAGATAGTAACCAGTGAAGAATGAACATGTGTCTTGTTACGAGTGCAATCAAGTCAATGATCAGACCAGTTGATGCCGTGAAGCCAAAAAGAAATCCAGAAATAGCAATGACTTTTGTAATTGGAACAAAGAGAGAACCCACTGAAGACCACAGAGTGGACCAGATCTGAACAGTGTTCAAAGATACCATGCCAAGGACTGTAGCAAGCTCGGTGTTCAATTTAAACCCCGCTGGGTTTCCCATCAGCCACACGCATCCATTACGCAGTAAGTAGTTAGTGATATCGCCAGCAAAGTTTGTAATGAAATGGCAAGCAGATTCAGCATGCCACCATAATGCGGTGCCTAATAAGTTTCCCAGAAAAACGTCAACGACTAGACAAGCCCACATGGAATGCCTTTGCAATGCAATTTTCTCTGCATATTCAACACATGATTGAGACCTGTGGCAAAGTCCAAAGTATATAGGAATGATAAATTAGACACAAAAAGCCTCCAAGATTATGATGAAAAATGAAAAGTGATCTCAAATGAATCAAAATCTAATATTGAGACAATTAACTTAGTTATTAAACTTTGCATTTTAGTTTCCCTTTGAAAAATCCAATATTTCACTTGGATTTTCTCCTAAAAATGATCAGATTGAGTAGATTATACCACAGTAGACACACAAGAATATAAAGTCACAAATATTGCCATTATCACTTGCACATCTTTTCACATACATTTACCGACAATTAAACATGAAGGCTCCCACAAATAAAAGAAAAACTTCTAAAGCTCACAGACCAAGCTGACTACCATAGATGCGTATTCACTTAAACCTCCAAAGGTAAATGATTAAGACTCTTGTTACCTCTTTTTTTTCAGAAAGAATATCAAGGAAACAAGAAATTCTCAGATTAATGCCAACCCAAATTCTCAACAAAAAATTCCTTAATAAGCAAGGTATCAAATTTTTGTCAAGAAAAACACCCAAAATACTATTTAGTCAAAAGCAAAGAAAGGAAAATATAACACCCTTTCTACCAAAAAAAAAAAAAAAACCCAAAAAAAGTAAAATAGGGTCGCAATAGGAGGAAGAAAATAGTTTCTTAGAATTCCTGCAACCTACTTATAATTTAAATCTTCATATCTAACGAAAAAGGAGTGATTTTTAGAACCAAGAAAAAACTATTTCAGCAACGAAAAACTGTCAATGATAAATCTCAAAAACAACAACAAAGAGGAAAAGCATAAAAAGCAGATAATCAGATTAACTATGTAAACCCAAAATGATTCTCACCTGAATCCTTGATTTTGGAGAAAGATAGGCCAATAGAGAAACTGGCAGCAACGAAGCCCAACAATTGCCCATGTATTGCAGAATAGATTTGTGAATATGATGTATACCCCTAAGTATGATATGTGACTCATAAGGAGATGGAAAGACTGGAAAATCATATAAAGGAAAGTTGCAAGGGATGCCACAAACGCAGCAACAAGTTTCCATGCAAAGGTAGCAAACCTGAAAAGTTTGTAACTTTCTGTTATAAACCACAGTAAGGAATAACAGACTCTGCAATTAACTCACAGTAAAGAATAACAGAATCTGTGCAAATAAACAACAGACACAGATTGCAATATCATTACCTCCATAAGAACTTGAAGGAAATAGTGTATCTTTTCAAAGGCAAATGTTTTTCTGATATGATCTTGCCAGCATTTGCACTGTTAATAGCAAGAATGATGGTGTCCTATGCAGAAAAGAAAAAAATTAAAGAATGACAGCAAGAATTAGAAGCCAAACATAACGCCTTCATGTGCATTAAGTCATTAACTACAGATAAACAAAATTACCAGATCAAAGTGAGGCTGCTTCTGCTGAAGGTCTTGAAACCATTGTGGTTTTTTGGTTAAAGATACCAAACTTGCAGACAAGCTCTGGGAATTTAGTGCATAATGGTGGCCACAGAATTTAGGGATTTCATAAAATACAACCTACATAAACAACATAAAAATGAGGAGATGAGATATCACAACAATAAAGTAGGCTAAGGGCAAACGAGGTGATGCACTTTAGTATTGACTTACATACGTGGAGATCTAGCTGAGACATGATTTTCCCATGCCAATGCAGGTGATGCAATCCTGGGGCCAACTGCGACTTGCAATTACTAGTTTCCAAATAACCATAACTGAACCGGATTAATGGGCCATTTTGTACAGAAGCCAGCTTAAAGTGTTCCACTAAACTAGCAACTCTGTGGCATCCACAGGCAACTCTTTCAATCTTACTTTGAAAAGAACTTCGGCAGCAGTGAAAGTAAGATCCTTGGTCAGTTGAATTGGTGAATGCAGTTCCATCACTTACTGAGGCATGTACTTCGCCGTTGCAACTCGATTCTGATGAAAAATAACCCAGCAAAGAGATTTGACATTTTTCTTGTAAAGATAGGGACATATTTGTATTTGCTTCATGAAGAACTTCCTGTGCAAAACATAGGGACTAAAAATTGGCAAATTCTTTTATGATAAAAGAACAAGATATACACACCATAACAGCACAGCAAAATACTTTCATCCCTTTTATGACTTGAAATAAACACACAAGTATCATTAGGCTTGGTGCAGGGAAAAAACCAAAAAAGAAGAACAATGAAGAGGAAAATCTTGAAGCACTATCACTCTAATTTTGGCTTTAGTGACAGCATCTTTCAAGACATTTGTTAAGTTATCGATGTAGTAATTAGATAATAGACCTCAAACTCCAAAGTGCAATTACAGAACCACAGGTTGCACAAAAACAACTGGACTAATTATCAAATGAGGCAATTGAAAGGAGAAAGATGTTCGGTGTAGTCTAATTGATTTCATCATGTTTTCAACATATAAGTTGATAATATCAAAATACTAACCCAAACATTGTGATATACTGACAATAAACCCAGACTGGAAAGCGGCTTCCACAAACAAAAAATAGAAAGAACAAAACAAAAAAAAAAAACCAGCACAAAACCTTAATGACACAACAACAGCAACAACATATCCAATATATTCCCAACTACGTTGGGGTCTGAGGGGTCAAGATGTAACCAGCCTTACCCCCATATTTCAATACAAAGAAGCTGTTTAAGTACGATCCAAGATGCATTGGTGCATTTGATGTATTTATTTCCTATAAATTCACTAAAATTAAGAAGCACAAGAATGTTATTGAGTCATTTTGATGTAGTACTTTATTAGCACAAACTTAAAAGAATTGTAAATGATGAATCTACCAGCTCCATTAGCACAAAAACATAACCTCAAAGTAAATAATTCCCCATTAGAACATGATGAATAGAACTACATTTAAGACTGGATAATAAATTATTAAAATTATGAGCACTGGAGGAAAACCTACTGACTGGCACATCGATCATCAGACTTGAAATTAACTTTTAATTTTTTAAACAATTGCAAGATTGTGAAATAAAGCAGGCCTCTTTGATAAAACGGGGTGCAAATATCGAGACCAAATTCCAATGGGAAAAAAAGAGTGACACATTAATACTCAAGAGACCGGGTAATTAGCCTGTTCTGATGAATTAGGGATAGGCAGGACAGGAAAGAAAGCTACCAAACATGTTTGCGCTTAGAATGTCTGGTAGATGAATGAAAGGAGCAGGCAAACAAAGATGATAGACGCAAAGGAAACATCAGAAATATATGGCTCAAGCAACAATAAAAGAAGTACAGCGCATTTCCAACCACTTTCAAAAAGACACAACTTCACATGAAAGTGCCACGAACAGAAAGTAATTTCAAAGGTATCAAGTAGTAATGAAATCTATTCTGTGCAAGACTTGTTACCTGACACCAGTAATTCTTAAAGATAAAAGAGAAACTAAAGACCATCTGAAAATTTTAATGCACCTTCAGATTTATCTATCCAAATTGTGGCAAGGGAGACAATATTCCTTGCCAACTAAGTGATCCACCACTCATTTTACAAATTGTTGGATGTCATTGGTTTTATGAAGACTTTCATGTGACTACCAAAGTGAAAGGACTGCCAGCATGCTTTCAAGAGCATGCAGTGGTAGATGTAAAAGTGAAGCTATAAAATCTGCTGTTGCTTTTAAAGTTATAATTTCACACACAGGGCAGCAATTGTTGGCCTTTAAATCAGGATGATTTGGGTGAAGAAAACAGAGACAAACGTCAAGATACAATGAGAATATGCTAATTAAATGCTTTAGAAATAGAAATGGCATTGTCTTCAGTTCTTCCTTTGGTAAGTAAAAGTGTAAAAGTAGTTGACTAACTCGTAAAAGACTTATCTTCAAAAAAGAAACAAGAGGGAAGAAAATAAGAAGAGAGAACAATACAACAGGATGGAAAAAATTGCCAAACATAAGACATGATATTCTACAACCAAGCAGTAGCTGCACGTAAACATTTTCCAGAAAAATACAAAAAGAGAACCCAAAGTGTACAGCAAAATACCACAGAACAGAGCGCTACATATAATAAAGATGTGATCACCACAGAGGCATTGAGATGTATTTTGGAGGCGTTGAAATTTATTGAAACAAAGCAATAGGAAAACCAGAATTCAGTCAGCTTAGCATGAATGCATACTTTGTTCTCCTGACTGCAACATTAGTCAGATTTGTTTACTAGTTAAAAGATTCTACCAAAACAACCTGATAACAGCAACAACAAAGAAAGAAGGGATCTAGACAGCAAGCAACATCAGAAGCTTCTTATTGCCATTTCTAAGCACTTTTTTCGTAAAATATCCCATGTATCATCAATATTACCGAAGTATATTGGAGCACTCATCTATATGGTTATCTGTTTCAACATAAATGCATTAAGAACTAGTTTATGAAGACATCACAAGACAAAAACAACCAAGTTCCTGCAAAAATTGTTCTCTATTTACTATTATACCAGCAGCATCAAGTCCAATAGAGGAGTTGCCTTGACATACATTAACTGAGAGTTGTTTAGGTACAAGTCCAGCTCTAACCAACTAAGACTAGCAGCAAAATTTGCAGAAAATTAACTATCTTAAATGACAATCACGATTTCTAGCACTCTATCAGGTATTCGCGTACGAAATTAAAAGAATTTGTATGCATGTTATATAAGACAATCATTACTGCGAAGTTATAAAGGCCAACAAGCTACTCCAAACAACGAAAATTAAGAACAGAATCATTTGGATATACATTAAAGCCTGAAGAGAAGATTACACATTGAACCTATGTCCATGAGCAGATACAACCTTATCTTATCTAAGCTCATCAACAGATGAAAATCAACCACCTTACAGTACTAAAAAATGAAATTTACTTCCACGAGTAAAACCAGCATATCGTAGAATCACAAGATTTTATTTACATTAATTCTTGAGAAACACTAAAATTAGATCAATTGTAGACACTTGGAGCCACTAATGCAAACAGCAAAAGAACGAAACCATTTCAAAATCAACAACAAATAAAGCTAAATTGAGATCAGAAATCTGCATTTATCATTATTAAAAAAAATTAAAAAAATAAAAAAAAAAACTTGAATAATAAAAGGGCTATCCCAGTTTGTAAAGATTGAAACTGTACCTGAAGATTAGAGCAAGAAAGTGCGGATTCTTCAATAGAAAATGCGACAACAACATCGAAAGAGGGGTGAGAAGAGGATCCCGAGAAAATGAACCAACCAAAGAACAAAGTACATGATTCAGGCTGAGGTTCAAGTGTTGAGGAAAGATGGGTTGGCCACCATAACCTGCATTTCCTTGCTTTCATATCCATAAATTTTATCGCCGTATAAAGTACGCATTAAAAATATATGAAGAAAAGATTAAAAAGCTGTTGAACCATCATTCCTGAATGCAGGGGCGGAGATAACTAGACGGAAGGAATCAAAGTGAAGCAAACTGCTAACAGCTTATTACAATCGATACAAAAGGTGAGGAAACGAATCAAGTGATGAATTCACGCTTCCCACTTCCTTCCGTCAATTTCAAAGGCTTGTAATTGTTCCAATTTGAATGAATGATTTGTGGTCGGAGATCTTAGAAGCTCAGAGGCTTCACAATCACAACTGCCGGGGAGGTCGGAATAACAATCACAAAAGTGGAACGAAAAATAATCAACACTTTTTGAAGCAATGGGAATGACTGAGAAAGATTCGTGCCGATTTGATAATAAGTCACTGCGGCGGCGGCGGCGGCGGCGTTTCCCGGCGTAAGGGCGGCGGCGTAAAGCTGGAATCCTGGGAGGAGAATATTTTTGTAGGGGTTTTAAAAGGAAAAAACAGAATTTTTGTCGAGGAATGGCATTATTGTAAATAAACCAAAATTTTAATATATTTGCATTTTTTTAGTCTCTTCTTCGCCCAGAGTTATCCTTCTCCTCAGCTGCAAACTTTCTTCCCCCAAAGATCCTTCTCCTTTGGCTTCAAATCCTTGGTTAGTTTTTCTTGAATTTGTCCTTCTAATTTTTCTGTAATCCATTTGCTATAAATTTTATCGATTGAAATTGAAGCTGCCCGGGCTAGTGTCCAGTCCTTTTCTTACACCCCATAGGCTTTTATCAGCTTTCTATGAATTGGGAGTAGTGAAACTGTCTTCTGGAAATGATTTTGCGTGGTTCTTCTGTCAATTTGGTTTCGAATGTGTGTTATAGAATTGGGTTTTACGTTTAAACTGATGTGAAATTTTGAGAAGAACAAAATTTAGGATAAACGGAAGTGATGTCATTAGTCTGTCTGAATAGAAGTTGTTTAACCTTACAAAAGATCTTGATGCTCTCTTCTTGATTAAATTGGTAATGTGAATCGTGGGTTGATTATACTTTTCACCGGCAAGATACTTACACATGTTGGATAGACTTTTCTTGTTTACTTTGGATTATTTTACTTCAGTTGTTTTATTGTGAATGTACTCTTTCTAGGTTAAATGTACTGCTTTGTCACTTTTGGCTATTGTTTATGCACATAATCTCACTGAAATATTGCATATTATATTTTGTAGTGCAAGTAGAAATGCATAATGCTTCGAGAAATGACACTGTCTCTGAATAGCTCAGTTTTACGAAACCTCTAAATTGCATTCGCATATGGATGTTCTGAGTTTTGGGAGGGAAATATTGAAATTTAGTCCATCACAAGTTACTCATTGCTGAGGAGATGGCTCCAGCTTTGTTACGCATATCAAGCTTACCGTCGGCAATCTCTTTTGTCAATGTTACACACAACAATCAAAGGAGTTTCCTAAGTCCTCAGCTTTTCAAAGGTATGCTTGTTTTTTATCTGCATGTTTGGCCAGCCCCATCAGTTTTTCTTATTTTAGCCAATACCCACTTACAAGTTTTTTTCTTCCAGGTTTGAGAAAGAAATTACGATGTAAAAATAGTGGCCAGATCAGGTGTGGTCAATCTGCAGTGAGGAACAGAGAGAAGAATAATGAAAAGGATAAAAGGAAAAATGTAGGGAGGTTGATTTTGAGTGAAGGAAGAGAAGAGGATGGGGATTATGGACCTATTTGCCCTGGTTGTGGAGTTTTCATGCAGGATAAGGATCCTGATCTTCCTGGTTTTTTTAAGCGAAAAAAGGTTGAAAATTATGACATTATGGAGGATGAAAGCGGAGAGTTTTATGACAGTTTTGTGGATGATGAGGATGATGATGAACTTGAAGATTTTGATGAGGATGATGAGGACCTTGAAGATTTTGATGGGGATGATGAGGAATTCGAAGATGACATTGAAGAAAAATTAAAGGGTGATGATGCGATTTTTGGAAAGTTTGTGGGTACGGATGGGGTTGAATGGGATTTGAAGGAATTGGAAGCTGAATTCGAGAAAGATGATGATGAGTTGAAGGAGTTGGATGGGTTTGGTCCAGCTACTGTTGGCTATGGTAACATTACAGAAGAGACAATAAAAAAGAGGAGGAAGGAAGCGCTCTCAAAATCAGAGAGGAAAAGGATGAGTAGGAAAGCTCAGAGTATGAAAGAAGAGGTCACAGTATGTGCACGGTGCCATTCGTTAAGGAGTTATGGACAGGTAAAGAACCAATCGGCTGAAAATTTGATTCCAGATTTCGATTTTGATAGGTTGATATCTACAAGGTTGATGAAACCTACAGGTGTTGCAGATTCTACTGTGGTGGTTATGGTAGTTGATTGTGTTGATTTTGATGGTTCATTTCCTAAACGGGCTGCCAAGTCTTTGTTCACGGCTCTTGAAGAAAGCAAAGAAGGCTCCAAGCTCAATAAAAGGCTGCCAAAGCTTGTCTTAGTGGCGACTAAAGTCGATCTTCTTCCATCACAAATATCACCTGCAAGATTGGATAAGTGGGTTCGACGTCGTGCTAAGGCTAATGGAGCACCTAAGCTGAGTGGAGTATATCTGGTTAGTGCTCGTAAGGACCTTGGAGTGAGGAACTTACTAGCATTCATTAAGCAGTTGGCTGGTCCACGAGGGAACGTCTGGGTTATTGGAGCTCAAAATGCAGGTAAATCAACTCTGATCAATGCTTTTGCCAAAAAAGGAGGCATAAAGGTCACAAAGCTTACTGAAGCTGCAGTCCCTGGAACAACACTTGGGATATTGAGGATTGGAGGAATACTATCTGCCAAGGCAAAAATGTATGATACCCCAGGCCTTTTACACCCATATCTGATGCCTATGAGATTAAACAGGGAGGAACAAAAAATGGTTGAGATGCGAAAAGAGCTACAACCTCGAAGCTATCGAATCAAGGCAAGTCATATGTCTTTTTCTTTTCCTTTTTTTTCTTGTCCCTTTTTTTTTTTTGGTGATATCGGGCTCTATTCAATTTTATTTTTCATCTGTCATCTAAACCATTTATCTGAAGTTTCTACTTGGGTGAAAGAACCTTGCAGTTATCCCTAAGTTCATCCAAAGTTGACTTGTTATGGTTGTTTGACATTTTCTAACATGGTTTCTCAGCATGCTGAAGAGAATAAATTATATACAAACGGTCTTGGACTCTGATGAAAGTAATCTACTGATTTACCCACCAGGAGTTGTAAGGGGGTTTTACCCACATTTAAGTGGGGTCCACTGAGATGGATTTAAAAAAAAAAATCCTTGTTGAGCTATTTGCTGAACTGAAGCCTTTAAATACTTTTCCATTTCTTAAATTCCATCTGCGTGATGATATTTAAATATATTCTTGTTAATGTAATAGCACCTTATTGGTTGATTGGTATTCTTCAGTTTAACTTTTCCTGCTTTAGAAAGCTTTCTTCAGGAGTTTCATTTTGTGTTTTACAGAATTCTGGAGCATAAATGCCTTTTCTGAAATTCTTATATTGCAGCAGCATCCTTTTTATCCTTTTCTTTATCTAATGAAGGAAAAACTTTTCAGCCAGGTGAGACTATACATGTAGGTAGCCTTGTGAGACTGGATCTTAATCAGGCTTCTGTGAAGACGATCTATGTCACAGTCTGGGTATCCTCCAATGTATCTCTCCATTTAGGAAAAACGGAAAATGCAGACGAGATAAGAGAAAAGCATGGTGGAGTTAGATTGCAGGTAAGACACCCTCATAAACACTTTTGTTGGCATTGTGTTAAAATGATCTCGTATAACGCAGTTGAAATATGCAATTGTGCTGCCTAGTTGTATAAAATTAATTTAAAGATGTGACCTATTTCAGGGTTAGCTTTAGTTTAAGTTTTGTACTCATTTTTATTTTACTTTTATCGCAATTTATCTATTTTACCGCCTGAAACATCTATACATCCGCATCAAACGCTAAGTTGAGCATGGCTACAAATGTATGCCAGTTTTAACTTTTTAGTTCAAGTCTACACCAAGAGCAAACACTTGAAACACTTGTGGGAACAACACCTTGAGAATTAAGGACGAAATACGACTCTGTCATCAACTTGACTGCCATGATTCCAATGGTCATAGACTTGGTGATAAATATTGATAATGTAAAGAGCTGGTTTCTTTTTATTTATTTGTTTATTTCTCTTTTAGAGAGGGGTTTAATATGCCAAGGTAGAAACCATACATCTCTAAGATATTTATGGCATATCTCCATAGGCCCGTGCCTGGGGAGGTTTCCACTAATTCCTGCCTTAAAACTGACTGGACAGGAAAAAAAATGAACAAAGTTATTGTATTAGACTGATTGAATGAAGTAAACTGGTTTGGAGTCGATGTGATAACCATTAAAAGTTCTACATTTTCGTTAAATTTGATGTGCAAGCTACTCTTGCTTTTCTGAACAACAACAATATACCCAGTATATTCCAACTTGGTTGGGGTATGGGGGGTCAAGATGCATGTATACAGGCTTACCCCTGTACTTCAATACAGAGAGGCTGTTTAAGTAGGATGACCCAAGATGCATTGATGCATTGATCTATTGAATTCCGGAAACTTCACTAAAATTAGGAAGCACCGGAATCTAAATGAGCCATGTTAAATATAATCCAGTATCGGCACAAAGCTGAAAGAATTATCAATGATGACTCTTCCACTCCATTTGCAATAACTCTTGCTTTTCTGAAGAAAAAAGAAAGAATTTAGAAACAGCCTATGAATAATCCCTTTCCTTGTTCTTTTTCAGCCTCCAATTGGTGCCGATCAAGTTTGCCAGCTGGGTAACTGGGTGAAGAAAGAAGTGAAAGCTTCTGGCAGTAGCTGGGATGTGAATGAAATGGATGTTGCAGTCGCTGGCTTAGGCTGGTTTTCTCTTGGATTGAAAGGTGAAGCAAGTTTGACACTCTGGACATATGACGGCGTAGAGGTCACATTACGAGAACCTTTGGTTCTTGATCGAGCTCCAATCATTGAGAGACCTGGGTTCTTGCTTCCAAAAGCAATATCCGATGCAATCGGCAATCAGACCAAGCTAGAAGCTCAACAGAAGAAAAAGCTTCAGGAAAGTAGCATGTGATATCTTTCCCAGCTAACATAGGAATGTCTCTTGGCCACCGAATCTAGTACTTGCAGTGCAGCACAATGAACTCTGGCTGAAATTTTCTGAAAACTTATGTATCAGATGTACAAAATAGGATTAAGTGGTGGCCATCAGAAGTGGGTAGCTGTATGTAGTTCCTAGAAGCTGCAGAATGCCCATCTCGGTTAATTCGGGCATAAAATACAGTCACCATTAAACAAAAATGCACGTCAAACTGACAATTTTGAGTGGTATAAAATTTTGGTTTTGTGCTTCATATCTCATTTGAATCATGTCTGAGCCTTTGATTTCGCTTTGGCATTCACTACTGCAATCACCAAAAGGCTCCGGACATTTGGCATAAGTATTTACTTCCATGGAATTCGAGGATTTCATTGTGGCTCAGATAATTAAGCAATAGAATTTTCAGTTTGTTTCTACAGAAGTTGTTGGGTCAGGGTCCAAGTGCACATCAGGTGGAGTTGCCAAAATAGCAATGTACCATGGTATTGTTCATTATGTTAAAAGAGCTCTTCTGTAAGGCTGAAAGAGAAACAGAATGGATGGCTGAACGTACTGCCTCACTGAAAGAGAGATTTGGCTAAAATAGCTTTTTCATATTTTTGCACTTGTGAAAACTCAAATTCTACATATTTTTTCCCTTTTTTACATTTTGCTGTTTTTTGGTTACACTAAAGAAACAACTGTCAGAATATGAACAAGGCTAGGTACAGGAACAGCAACCTTGCTCTATACAGAAAGTTACTAGGAACAAGAGCGGCGCCTTTCCGCTGCTAACTGCAGACTAGAACCCTAATGAGCGACTGTTTAACGGGGTTGCTGGATGCGGCGAGGGCTGCATTTTGGGTTGACATATTTTGCTGGCTTCTCCTGGAACTTGACTTGTTCAGCACCGTACTTCTGTCCTTTCTCCACTGGTGAATTCAGACTCTTGATTGCTGTCTCAGAGCCCCTCAGAAAACCTATCATGCAATGCAAGAACAAGAAGTTAAAAATCACACGAAAATTATACTATCTGATCATAAATATGAGTGCAGTTAATTAAATCATATCAAGACTCTTCAGAATGCAAATACTGTAACTGCTTTGCCAATTCAAGCTCTTTTAATGAACTCAGTCACATCACAAATTCATGACCTGTGTCGATTTTGTACTGTTCCCTTACTCACATTGTGTGCTAGCACCCTTGGCTACCAATCTCATGACTATTATCTATATACATAGTATTACAGTTTTAAAGACAATATAATATATAGTATTATCTATATACATAGTATGATTAAAGAAGCTCAATATATAGTTTACAGAAACTTATTAATATTAATGATTCATACCATTTTCATTCAGTCCCTTGGGGAAGGATTGCTTATATTCCTGTCCAATTTCAGAGGAGCGGAGGAATTCCTCAAACTGAGCTTCCATGTTCAGGTCCTCCTCATCCATACCAAGATCAATACTATCCGGCAGCAGATCAACAACATCAGCATCTCCAAACCCATCTTCCTCATAACCCAAGAAATCCTCACTCAGTTCCTGGTGCTGGCTGAGCCAATAATCATGAAACCAACTGGATGTAGTTACTAAGTTCCACCATTCTGGTGAGAAGTCCTCCACTTGGCGCATTGAAGCAGGGATGTACAATGGCGCATTTGGATTCAGAGTAGACCTTCCTCCAGAGACTAAAGCCATGTTCAACTTTCAGTGTCCAATTCCTTAGTTGTTAACTGCTTTAATAGAACCTGCAGCGCATAGTTTAACAAAGTCATCAATCAAACACACCATCATTTAAATAAAGTAACCTCTTTTCAAAACCAACAAAAAAAAAATCAACAAGGGAAAAAAAAATATTCAACATACATCACAAATTCACAACTGAGTTGGATCATTGAACCTTAATTGCATAAATTTTCTATAATATCGCACGGACCAATACACATCGCCATTTGTATCAAAAAATAAAACGCTTCATATCAATATTCACAGCAACAGCAGCTGATCTTGATCTTGGACAGTCCAAATCATGTAGACACTAACAAGCTACAAAAACAAAATCGATTGAAGTTCTAAAATTCGAACTCCAACACAAGCAAAAAAAATAAAATTGAAAAGTAAAACAGAATTCATTACGATACAAATTCAACTACACCGTGACCAACGAATATCCTCCGTAATCCACTTCAACAAGGAAATTTTAAGCATGTAAACATTCACAAAAGCAACATGACTAATGACTTCATACATTTTATCACACTCCAAACGTACAAAACTTCGATCTACTCATTATAAATCAATACAAGTACGATTCGGTGAAAAAAAATCCCAATTTTACGAACGGTGAATATCAGTTGACCATTATCATTTCAGCTTACGAAGCAAGAAAAACACCACAACGATTCAGCGATTTCTTCACTGCTCATCAGATCTAAACAAACTGAATCCAAATCAAAAGTTCACAAGTAGAATCATGAGCTGAAAATTTCGCACCAAAATACAAAGCTCAACAAGGAGTACCTTCGAAGCAAAAAAAAAAAAAAATCCAGTTCCAGCCGATAAAAGCTCCCGAAATTAACGAATGAGGATTTTTTCCGGAATGACTCGAGTTTTTATAGGCCAGCCAAATGTATCCGAACCTGAGGTTCGGCGTAGACCAAACCAGCCCACTGATTGACTCGGTTCTCACTGTTTCAAAAAGGGCGAGCGCAAAAGGAAAAGAATTTCATTCTTACCACGACTTGTACGTTGTGCATCATTTCTTGTACCTCACCTTTTATTGTCTATAGCCGGTAAGCAGCCGGTAAAAAAGCTAAGAGACGTGCACAGGTGTTGGATCGTTAAATTGATTGCTTCATTACGTTGGCCCACCACCCAAGTCGCCTTTGACCTTAACGGCTGCAGATGAAGTCTTTCGGTAATCGCACGGTTGAGAATAAATGAGCTGTTAAATGATGATGCCCGGCTAGCGGAGTTGTGGGCCTACGGGGTCCACTCGTGCCCTCTAATCCGCGTAATTTCACGTGGTGGGTACCCGGTCGGTGACCTACTTAATAATGGTATTAAATTAATAGGTGCATGATGAATGATTATGCATGATAATGAATTTTTTGCATATGTATGTGCCATAGTGGATAATCCCATAAAATCATAATCATCATCATAGACCATCAAATTCTCTATCATGGCCTTCAAGTGAAAATAAATCCATCGGACCATATATTTTTTGGTGGTGCAGAATGATTTAGGAAGTGAAAGTACGTATCCAATTATAAGAAATTTGCCAAATTTAATTAAAAGAGTGATGATGATATTCGGTTGTACACAGTGACGGAATTTTTAAGGTGTTCAGGGGATACTGAGCCCCCGGTCGGTCGAAAGGCTCTTTAGGCGTAGTTATAGTTCATCTTCTACCATATATTTTCATTTATATTTTCCGACCATAAACATGTAATCGACCCTCCAAATTCGAGCAGTTGGTTCCGCCACTAGTTATATAAATACTACTCATCAACTATGCGATTATTATATATCGTTCTCGTAATGTTACATACTTGTTAGAGTTGATAATATCGTACGCAAAGATATGAAAAACGTAAAAAAAAAAAAAAAAAAACAATTTATTCATCTTTATATTTTTGTGTATTGTTTACAATTTTACTTGAAACGAGAGTTTTAACATCACCAACATGTATGTTATGTTATTGGATGAAGCAAGTACTTTCTTCTTTCTTTACAAAATTCATTATATTGTACAATCTTAATATGATAAAATTAGGCCTGGCAAATCTGACTCGTGACCCGCGGGTCGACCCAACCCATGTAGTGTTTTGACCCGTACAGGTTGGGTCAAATGGGCTGCGGGTCAGAACGGGTCGCTGGTGAGGATGGGTATGTGATAGACGGGTTGGGTTGGGTTAGGTTAGAACGACCTGTGGATCAAGACGGGTTAAAGGAAAGAAACAAATCATCCAAGTCTAACTAATTTCCATCGACCAAAAAGTCAAAAGAAGAACAGAACAAAACTCTCTCCTTGTTCTGGTCTCTCTTCACATTTAGGGTTTAGGGTTTAGGGTTACCCCGGTGCCGCCATTCTCCCCTCCGCCGCCGGCCTTATCAACGGAGGCCATCGGAAGCCTGATCGCCAAGGTATGTCCCCTCACCCCTTTACTTTCTTTCTTTATATCTTTCAGATTGGATGCTTCCTCTTTTGGGTTGTGTCGAAGGCTGTTTTTTAGTTCAATAGATCCGGTTTTTTTGAATTCCAATCGTGGTGCTTTGTTCTTTTGATTCTTTGCTGAAAAGTGAAGCACAAAATGGGTCTCGATTACGTATTCTTTCTTGTTATTTGCATATTAGCCCAACTCTTTCATATCTGGATATCAAATTATCACAGTTTTCACATTCTTGAATCTTGCCTTACTGCTTAGAAAATGTTAGGTTCTCAGTTCTCTGTTTTTCGAAGTTTTCTTCTTCATTAATTCTAAGTTTATAATTATAAAAATCCCATTTTGCAGTTAGTTAATTAAATACATTGTTGTTAATGACTTTAGGTTCCGTGCGGTCACTCTCATTCTTTTTTACTCCCAATGTTCACGCCATGCATTGTACAAAGTCAAGGTTTTTTTACTCTTCTGCCTTGCAGTTTGTTCTGCTTCTGTGTATAATTAGCTACCCGTTCCTTCTCATTTTCTAAGCTTTCTTGGGTTTCTTGAATTTCGAATGTTTGAAGTTGGAATGTGGCTTTCTGGGATTTTCTAGTTGGTTGAATTGTTGCTTGCAAAAGGGGATTCTATTTGATTCTACTCCCTCCGGTCCTTAATATAAGACATTTTAATTTATCTTAGGTCTAACTTAGTACACATTTTTAACCGACGAAAAAATCTTAAAAATATTTCATAACAATTAAGAGAACACAACGAATGTGAAAATATATTTTTAAAGTTTTTTTGTCAATTAAAAATATGTATTAGGTGAAACCTAGGAAAAGTCAAAATGACTTATTGTAACACCCTTAAAATTTTAACCTTATTATTTTATCTTGTTATAGTCGTATGAAGGTAAATATAGATGATTTTATAATATAGAATTTAAGATATTTTCAAACTAAACTAAGAGGGTTTAGGGGTTAAATAACTTATAGTGTATTAAAATAATATACTTAGTTTTAGAGCAAAATAAAGAGGCACTATTTCTTAAGTAAGTAAAGAAACCAAAGCTTTGATTTTAGGATAGTAACTAATACATTGTTCCTTAACTAAATAATTAAAACATATAGTAATAGTAATCATCATCATAAAAAGAAAAATAAAAGAAGAAGGGGGAAGGAACACTGCCTACGGCTAAAATGGTAAACAATAGAGTTGGGAGATAGAATACTTCACGTGTTTTGCCAAAAATGAGACTAAGGAGCCTGCATATTCAGCTAAGGATAATCAACGTGGGAATCAAGGAGACATTAATCAAAAATGGTACAAACCAGGCAGCTCACTCCCTGGGTCTAGTGTTGAGTAAGCACCCTAGGAAGGACATGTGGGAGGAGCTTATCACCATGGGAGCAAGAAGGATTAAACAAGCAGCTTACTAAGTCATCTCTAGAGTGACTAAGCAGAAGAAAACGCAGCATGTGGCTGCTCTAAAAACTCATTACGCAGCAAGCCTATAAACTAGAATAGGGGGTGAAACAAGCAGGACCTATCAACTCTATAAAAAGAGATCATAGATTGAGTGATTCACTCACAATCAAAAACAAAATACTACTTCAAAGATAGACTGATAGGTAGAGAGTAAGTGAGTTGAACGGGGCTGGAGAAAGGAGACAAGAGGAGAAGAAGCTAGATGCAACAAACGTAGAGAAAAGTTTTTTTTGCCGAATAGAGGTAATTAAGAAATTTTGTTCTAGTTTAGCTATTAATTTATTAGATGATGATTTTCATCATAGTATGAATGCATTTTCTATTTATTGATTCATTTTAGTACGGTTATTAAGCTTAAGTTAGATTTATTTGAGTAAAATTTGATTAGAAACTCTTGAAACCCGTGACCGTTTTTCTGTCGGCAGAACCGCACGTTTCTGCTAAAATTAACGTAACTTTCTATAGAAAACTCGGATTTAGTTTCTGTTTATTGCGTTAGAATTTAGACTCTTAGGGCTTTCCAATGGTATATAATATGTACTCTGAATCATTTTGTAGTGATGAAATGAAGTCGTCAAAAACTTTCGGAAATACCATTCGCTCTTAACCTTAGTATAAAAGCTAACGTTTTAAGTTTTAAATGATGAAAACGTTTATTAGATTGTTAAGTTGACATTATTTCTATCTTAGACAATGATTTAGGTATTATTGAATAAATCATAAACTTTATAAAATTTAATATTAGTTAAAAGACTTAAAATCAATAAGAAATTATGGCTTCTCGATTAAAGGTATATGTCAAACTATAAAAGTAAAGCTATTTGGATATATATATATATATATGTAAGAATATACACTAAGATGATTTGAATTATTGACAATATTTAATTATTTATTTAGTGTTATTCAATACGTGTTGCAGGCAACGCTTCCACGGAGGTGACAACTCCGAATAAATAGTACTTGTGAGATAATTCTCACCTATTTTTAAAATTATTTCAAAACCTGGGAGTATGGATATATTTGAAAAGACACCACACATGAACACATTGTTTAAAAGTA